TTTCAATGAATTGGTTTAAGAATATAGTGATTGGATAGGCATGGCGAGAGAAGTCTGAAAAAGATTAATAGAAAGAAAAATCAGGCTATTATCAGAGACAGCTGTTTGCACTTCAGTCTAGGCTAGCGGTAGTCGAAATCAAAAGAAGTGGATGTATTTGCTACCCACTTTGCTGATAAAATATATATCTCTTATTGAGGAAAATAGTGCATTTCAAGAAGGTGCTGTGTTATATTTGCTGGAAAATTTAATTACTTTTGGTCTCCATAATTTAGATACATTACTGTATAATCTGGAAATAATAGGCATTTAATATATGTTGAGTAGATGGCTGACTAGATATATAGATGAATGAATACATGTATACATGAATTACTGAATTAGATTCATTTAGCTTATGAGAAACTATACAAATTTCATATTAACCTATTACTTTTAGCATATTTAGCACTAGATATACATGTACTTTGGTTAGCTATATATTTTGTCAAATACTCCTCTTAAATTTGTTAAGTAGACTTTTAAAAGGCATTTCTGTGTCTCACATAAAGACCCTTGAGAGGCCTTATAAATTTAGAAAGAAGCAGTTATTTGCAAAAAAACAAAAAAAAAAAAGTAGCCATGTTTACTTACTAAACAAATGCAGCTGGATTCTCTTTAGAATAAGCAAGCTATTCAGCTCCTTCAAACTGACTTTTACTTTTATATGCACTGTACTTGTGGATACACCTTTTTCAAAACCACAGAATATCAAGGACTCTATAAAGTCATTTGTATTTAAAATAATTAAGCTATGAAGATATTATTAAAATTCCTCCCTCTTTTTCCCCAGAGACCATGTGCTTTCTTCAGTTTGACTTTTGCTTTACTATTTGTGAAAATTAAGATGATGATGCATTTTAAATAGACAGCTTTGATTTGCATAAAACACAAGTTTGTCCAAGCTTTTCAAAGCACTTCAGAGAGTACTTAAGGTTGAGTATATTTTCCTGTTGGTTATACATGCAATACTACACTTCATCTGGTGATCTACATTTTACTCACAGTATTTCTCCATCCACCTGCCTGAATCTGCTGACTTACTAAAGGCTTCCTTTTACCTTGACAATGACTCCATGGCTTCCACACCTGCCTTTCTTCTTCCTATTCCTGTTTGGATGGTACACCGTTGTGTGTGTGCACGGTGGTGGGGAAGGAGATGAGAGAGAAGAAGGGAAGGATTTTTGAGTCAGCGATTAGCAGCTGCTCCAAGGGGGCAAGGACTGGAGTTGGTGTGCTTTTGGAGAGACAGCAGGAGAGAGAGGTAGATATACAGATAGAGAGCATCTACCACTTGCCACAGTTTTATTGGCCTGGATATTTAAACAATGCATTGATACTCAAGTGCCAAAACCTGAGGTCCTATGTTATTGGTGAAACACTATTTCTTTGTATAATTACATTTTAATCCTATTTTCCTATCATGTTGCTTTTAATAAATTTACTCTATCCTTCTTTCCCATCTAATTTTCTCTTTTCTCTTTTTCCCTACCCTTTTGTTCCCTCCCTTCCCTCTTTCTTTCTTTCTTAACTTGCTTTTTTTTTTTTTTTCTGCCCTTAATGTAAGCATACTTACCTGGGCTTCCTACCACCAGTCTTTCTCACACACGCATACACAGACACACACACACACACACACACACACACACACACACACACACGATAAACTGAGGCATATATTATTTTTTCAAGAGTTTCTTAGGTGCACTCTACCAACAGAAGCAATGGGAGGTTTTTATAGAGAATATGCGGAAGCAAAGAAAGGAAATTATCTGCTTGGCTACAGTTTAAGCCGTCGCTTTATTTGAGAAAGTCTAATTGACTGTGATTGCTTGTTTTTAAGTTCTTGTTTACTTGGATTTGAATGCTTTGATTCTGGTAGGTTTCAGTTTGCCATTAGAACTACCTCAGTCCAATGATGTCCTTATGTAACTACCTTATTACATATATGGACAAGATTACAATGCTCTTTACTTAAAACTTTGATGGTTCCACCATAGTTGTGTACTAAATGAACTCTAGCAAATGTCATTGGAATGAAAATTCCCAACACCTATCTACAAATATTTGATTTATTTGTTCTTAGACAGTGCCCATGAATCTACATTTAAGAAAAAAAGGTTTCTGATATTTGACAGATAATCACATTAAATTTCTAATCATCCCTGTAGACTACCTACTCATATAAAGTGTCCTTGTAGGTCCTGCATCTAGAATATTTTCAATCATTCTAGAACAAAATGACTCTATCTCACTAGTCCATCCCATCATTTCACCCATTCCTCCAAGACTGTTCTAAAACAGCGTGTTAAAGTGAGTTATTAGGTCTTATTCAATATGCAGACTGTGAGCTTGTTTTTGTGAGCTCTACCTATAATTTCTCAGATTGCCACAGTGACTGACTCAGATTGTTTGTATTTCTCAAATTGCCACTGTAACTGACACGTTAATGTGAAACAGAAGTGATTTTTTTAGGAAAAAGCAAAGAATCCCTTTGTTTTAAAATATTTGCTATATAGATAAGCAGGAAGGCAGTTGAAATTATTTTAGCTATATGTAATTTCCTCATTCTTTATTTTTTAATTATAAAATTAACATTTATAGCAAAAACCATTAGAAAATAAACTAAGTAAAAATAAATACACACTATAAGCACCCAAAGCCTAAAACCTATAGAAATGCTGACATTTCTTGCAGATCTTCTCTTATATACAAAAATAGAATTTTTTACTCAGTAAAAAGAAGATGGTTGTGCTTTTAAAGACTTTATGTCTTAGAGCAGTGTTATGTTTACACTAGAACTGAGCATAAGGTACAGAGAAATACTCCCTCCCTTCCCTTCAGCCCACCCCCCATATCCTGTCTACCAGGCATCTCCCTATTATTGACATATTTCATTGGCTTGGTGCATTGATGGACCAATATTAATACATGATTATTAACTAAAGTTCAGTTTCTATGGGTTTATTTTTAGCATTTTACATTTCTATGGATGTGACAAATGTTTAATATCATGTATCTACAATTACATTATCATATAGAATGGTTTTACATCCCTAAAATTTTCCAGTGTTCAACCCCCTGGAAATTGCTGATCGTTTTACTATCTCTATAGGTTTACATTTTCCAAATGTTATATAGTTGAAATCATGTGGTATGTAGCCTTTCGGACTTGCCTCTTTCATTTATCGATATGTTTTCTCTATATCTTTTGTGGCTTGATAGCTCAGTTTTTTAAATCGCTGAATATTATTAGATTGTCTGGATGTGCCAATTTGTTGATCCATTAACTTATTAAAAGACATCTTGGTTGCTCTCAGGTTTTGGAAATTATGAGTAAAACTTCCTACAGTCATCCATTTTCAAGGTTTCCAGGGGACATAATTTTCCACTCATTTGGGCAAATGCAGAGGAGATTGATTACTGGATGGAGTTGTAATAGTATGTTCAACTTTGTAAAAAAGTTTCATGGTGTCTTCTTTTTTTTTTTTCTAATGCTTTGAATTTTTTTCTTTATTTATTGGGAGAGCGAGGGAGGGAGGCAGAGAGAGAGAGAGAGAGAGAGAATGCAAGCTGGGGAAGGGCTGAAGGATAGGGAGGGAGAATCTTAAGCAGGCTCCCCACTCACAGCTATGAGATCATGACCTGAGCCTAAACCAAGAGGTGGATGTTTAACTGACTTAGCCACTCAGGCACTCCTTTCATGGTGTCTTCTGAAGTGGCTGTACCGTTTGTATCCTCATCAGTATGAATGAGAGTTACTTTTACTCAACATCTGGCCTAGATTTCCTGTTGTCAATAGTTAGACTTTCAGCCATTCTAAAAGATGTGTATTGGTAACTTGTTTTAATTTGCAATTCTTTAATGATTTATGATTTCATTCAACCTTTCATATGCTCATTTAATATCTGTATATCTTTCTTGCCAAGGTGTCACTTCAGATTTTTGCCAAGCGTTTCTTTTCACTTATTTTGAAATTCTAAAACCATAAATTTTTAAAATTTCTACAAATGGACTTTTCATACTTTTTTGTTAAACCAATGTAATGTAAAAAAAATTCTTTGTTGATATGGTCCAATTTCCCCCCCGCAAATATTCTCTTCTCAGTATTTTATATTTAAAGTGATCCTATAAGTTAGGCAAAATGTCATTCTAAATTAGGAATAAATAGCTAAAATTGATTAGATTGATAAGTCTCATTTAATAGCAGACACAGGCATTTACAAGACTTATTTTCTAATGTACAACCATAAAGGATGACACTCAGTTTGGTTCCTTTGAAGTAAAATGTATAGAATGGAGCTATTAAATAGATGGGCTTAAGCATGTAACTCCAGAAATCACTTTTAAAAATGTTTTTTTTTTTTTGAGAGAGAGGCTGCAAATGCACAAATGAGGGAGGAGCAGGGGAGAGGGCAGAGAGAATCCCAGGCAGGCTCTACACTCAGTGCAGAGCTCAATGTGGGGCTTGAACTCACAAACCTGAGATCATGACCTGAGCTGAAATCAAGAGTCAGATGCTTAAGGAACTCCCAGGCACCCCTCCAATAGTCATTAAAAAAATTTTTTTAATTTATGTTCCAGTTACTTTACATACAATAATATTAGTTTCAGGTGTGTGCTATAGTGATTCAACACTTTCATACAACACTCTGTGCTCACCCCAACAAGTACACCGATTTCATCCATCCCTCTACGTCCCTCCCCTCTGGTAACCATCAGTTTCTTCTCTATAGTTGAGTCTATTTCTTGGTTTTTTCCTCTCTCTCTCCCTCTCTCTTTCCCTTTACTCATTTATTTTTTAAACTCCACGTATCAGTGAAATCACATCATATTTGTCTTTCTCTGACTGACTTATTTCGCTTAGCATTTTACTAATTCCACCCATGTTGTTGCAAATGGCAAGATTTCATTCTTTTTTATGGCTGAATAATATTCCATGATATATGTATATATAAAACATCACTTCTTGGCTTTTTGGCTAAGATCAAGTGTAGTATCTATCAATCAATCAATCAATCTATCTATCTATCATCTATCTACCTATATCACTCATTTTTGTCCATTCATTAACTGAGGGACACCTGGGCTGTTCCTCTATCATGGCTATTGCAAATAATGCTGCTATAAACATAGAGGTGCATGTATCCCTTTGAATTATTGTCTTTGTATTCTTTGGTGAATACACAGTAGTGCAACTTCTGGATCATAAGATAGTTCTATGTTTAACTTTTTGAGGAACCTCCTTACTGTTTGCTAGTTTGCATTCTTACTAACAGCACACGAGTGTCCCTTTTTCTCCATATCCTCACCAATACTTGTTATTTCTTGAGCTCTTGATTTTACCCATCCTGACAAGTATGAGGTAATAGATCATGGTTTAGATGTGCATTTCCCTGGTGCAAGTGATGTAAGTGATGATGAAAATCTTACGATGTGTCTGTTTGCCATCTGTATATCTTCTCTGGAGAAATATCTGTTCATGTCTTCTGCCCCTTTTTCATTTGGCTTATTTGCTTTTCAGGTGTTGAGTTTAATAAGTTCTTTATATATTTTGAATACTAACCGTTTATCAGAGATGCCATTTGCAAATATCTTCTCCCATTCTGTAGGTTTTCTTTTAGTTTTTTTCATTGTTCCCTTTGCTTTTTGTTTTGATGTGATCCCAATACTTTACTTTTGCTTTTGTTTCCCTTGCCTCAGAGGACCTATCCAGAAAAAAGTTGTAAGGCTGATGTTAGGAAAACTACTATGTGTCCTTTCTTCTGGAATTTTTATGGTTTCAGGTCTTACATTTTGATCTTTAATCAATCTTGAATTTATTTTTGTGTATACTGAATGAAAGTGATCCAGTTTCACTCTTTTGTATGTAGCTGTCCAGTTTCCCCAATACCATTTTTTGAAGATACTTGTCTTTTTCCATTGAGATATTATTTCCTGCCTTGTTGAAGATTAACTGACTATACAATTGTGGCTTTATTTCTGGGTTTTCTATTCTATTCTATTAATCTATGTGTGTATTTTTGTGCCAGTGCCATGGTTTCTGCAGCTTTGTAGTATAACTTGAAGTCTGGAAATATCATGTCTCCAGCTTTCTTTCTTTTTCTAGATTGCTTTGGATATTCAGGATCTTTGTGGTTCCATGCACATTTTAGGATTGCTTGTTCTAGTTCTGTGAAAACTTCTATTGGAATTATGATAGGGATTGCATTAAATGTGTGGATTTCTTTGTGTAGTATAGGCATTTTAAAGATATTCTTCATATCCATGAGTATGGAATGTCTTTCCATTTCTTTTTGTTGTCTTCAATTACTTTCATCAGTGTTTTATAGTTTTCAGACTACTTCCACCTCTTTGGTTAGGTCTATCCCTAAGTAACTTATTATTTTTGGTGTAACTGTAAGCGGGATTTTCTTTTTTTAATGATCTTTGATAATTTTTAATTTATCAGCAATTAAGCAATATAATTTCACAGCTTTGATATTAATTTTAATTAACTGTTTTCTTTAATTTAGTTCAGTTGGTTAAAATATGGTGCATATGAACGAGGACCAAAGTTAGATATTTTATGTATGAGAGAATTAGTTGTAAACCGAGACAAATTTCACTCCATAGCTAATTTATTTTATCCAACCACCTTGAACATGTATTTATAGGGGAAATGGATAGACATACAAGTGATTTTCTAATCTAAGTGGGGGAATTAAGCCTCAGATGCTACATCCTACTGATGGCAAATCAGAAGATTTATCTTTGGTTTATAAAGAACAAGATACCATATGGGTCTGTTTTGTACAGAAACCTAGATTAATATAATCTAGATATATATATAAGATAATATAAATATAATTCTCTTGCTGCTGCTTGGTGTATAAAAATGCAATAGACTTCTGTATATTGATGTTGTATCCTAACTTTATTGAATCTGTTTACCACTTCCGGTGAGTTTTTGGTGGAGTCTTTTGGATTTTCTGTATTTATTATCATGTCATCTGCAAAGAGTGAAAATTTTACTTGTTCCTTATAGCTCTGGATATCTTTTATTTCTTTGTGTTGTCTGATTGTTGTGACTAGGACTTCCAATTATGTTGAATAAACGTGGACATCCATGTCTTTTTCCTGACCTTATGGGAAATTCAGTCAGTTTTTTCTCATAAAGGATGATGTTATCTGTGGATTTTTCATAGATGGCCTTTATTATGTTGATGTATGTTCCCTCAAACCAACTTTGTTGATGGTTTTTATGATGAATTCATATTGTACTTTGTCAAGTGCGTTTTCTGCCTCTATTGAAATGATCATATGACTCTCACCTTTTGTCTTATTGATGTGATGTATCACATTGATTGGTTTGGCAATATTGAACCATCCTTGAAACAAAGGAATAGATCCCACTTGATAGTGGTGGATGATTTTTTTAAATCTATTGTTGGATTTGGTTTGCTTGCATTTCATTGAAGATTTTTGCATCTATGTTCATCAGAGATTGTGACCTGTAGTTACTTTTTTATTTTTTTGGTGTCTTTATCTGACTTTGGTATCCAGGTAATGTTGGCTTCATAGATGAATTTGGAAATTCTCATTCACCTTTTATTTCTCAGAACAGTTTGAGTAGAAAAGGTATTAATTCCTCTTTAAATGTTTGGTATAATTCACATGTAAAGTCATCTGGTCCTGGACTTCTGTTTTCTTCAGAAGTTGTTTTTTTAAAATTTTTATTTATTTACTTAAGTTTATTTATTTATTTTCATCCCACGTGGGTTCCAAACTCACAACCCTGAGATCAAGAGTCACATGCTCCACTGACTGAGGCAGCCAGGAGCCCCTATTTATTTTTTATTACTGAGTAAATTTATTTGTTGGTTATCCATCTCTTCATGTTTCCTATTTCTTCCTGTTTCAATTTTTGTAGTTTATATGTTTCTAGGAATTTATCTATTTCTTCTAGATTGTGCAATTTGTTTGCATATAGATTTCATAATATTCTCATAATTGTTTGTATGTCTGTGGTGTTGGTTGTTATTTGTCCTTTCTCATTTGTAATTTTACCTGAGTCCTTTCTCTTTTTCTCTTAATAACTGTGGCTAAAGGTTTATCAATTTTACTGATTTTTTTCAAAGAACCATCTTCTCATTTCATTGATCTGTTCTATTGAGTGTGTGTTTTGTTTGTTTAGTTTATATATCATTTATTTTATTTCTGTTCTACTCTCTTTTTTAATGTTTTATTTATTTCTGAGAGAGAGAGAGAGACAGAGACAGAGAGACAGAGAGAGAGAGACAGAGAGAGAGAGACAGAGACAGCATGAACAGGGGAGGGTCAGAGAGAGAGGGAGATACAGAATCTGAAGCAGCTTCCAGGCTCTGAAATAGCTGTCAGCACAGAGCCCTACATGGGCTCGAACCCACGAACTGTGACATCATAACCTGAGCCAAAGTTGGATGCTTAACAGACTGAGCCACCCAGGCACCCCAATTTCTGTTCTACTCTTAATTATTTTCTCGCTTCTGCTGCTTTTAGGTTTTATTATTTGTCCTTTTTTTAGCTCCTTTAGGTATAAGGTTAGGTTGTTACAGATTTTACTTGCTTCTTGAGGTAAGTCTCTTTTGTCATAAACATCCTTCCAAGAACTGCTTTTGTTGCAACCTAAGGTCTTGAACTATTATGTCTTTATTTGCATTTGTTTTCATGAATTTTTAATTTCTTCTTTTATTTCTTGTTTGACCCACTCATTGTTTTAGTAACATGTAATTAACCTTATTGATTTGTAGTCTTTCCAGTTTTTTGTTTGTTTTATTTTATTTTGTTTTGTTTATGGTTGACTTCTGTTTTACAGCACTGTGGTCAGAAAAGGTGCACAGTATGACTTCAATCTTCCTAAATTTGTTGAGGCCTGTTTTGTGGCCTAATTTATGATCTATTCTGGAGAAAGTTCGATGTGTACTTTGAAAAAAATGTGTATTCTGATCTTTTAGAATGGAATGTTCTGAATATACCTGTTAAATCCATCTGGCCTAGTGTATCATTCATTCAAATCTGTTTTCTTGTTAACTTTCTATTAGATGATCTGTCAGTTGACATGAGTGGAGTGTTAATGTCTCTTGCTATTATTGTATTACTCTTGATTGGTACTTTAGGTTTGCTATTAACAGTTTTATGTATTTGGGTACTACCATGTTGGGTGCATAACTGTTTATAACTGTCATCTCTTCTAATTGGGTTGTCCTCTTTATTATGTATTATTATATAATGTCCTTCTTTGTCTTTTGTTACTGTATTTGTTTAAATTCTGTTTCGTCCAATATAAGTATTGTTACTCCAACTTTATTTTGACTTCCTTTTGCATGATAAATGTTCTTCCATCTCCTCATTTTCAATCTGCGGGTGTCTTTGGATCCTAAAGGAATCTCTTGTAAGCAGCATAAAGATGGACCTTGTTTTTTTATCCATTACGTCACCCTGTGTCTTTTGATTGGACTGTTTAGTCCACTTACATTCAAAGTAATCATTGATAGATATGTATCTATTGCCATGTTATTACATGTTTTGTGGTTATTTCTGAATATTTTCTCTTATCCTTTCCTGTCTTTTTCTCTTTCATGATCTGCTGGTTTTCCTTAGTGAGATATTTGGATTTTTTTCTCCTTATTCTTTGCACATTTATTACTGGTTTTTGATTTGTGGTTACCATGAGGCTTCTGTATAACCTGTTATGTATGTAGCAGTCTATATTAAATTGATAGTCATTTAAGTTTGAATCCATTCTTTTCTCCTCTTCTCCACACACTTTAGGTGTATGCTGTCATATTTTCCAAATTCTATTTTGTGTGTTTCTCAACTGATATTTTATAAAAGTATTCATTTGGACTGCCTTTGTGTTTCTTGTTTTCATACTGTCACTTTCAGTCTTTCCTTTCCACTCAAATAGTCCCTTTAATATTTATTGCAGGCCTTGTTTAGTGGTCATGAACTCCCTTAGTTTTTCTTCTTCTGGGAAACTCTATATCTCTCCTATGTATTCTTCTATAGTCTTGCTGGATAAAATATTCTTGGCTGCAAATTTGTCACATTCAGCACTTTGAATATATCATGCCACTTCCTTCCGGCTTCGAAAGTTTCTGCTGAAAAATCTCCTGATACTCATG